TGCCTTTACTCTTAATTTGCAAGCAAATCTGCAGTTCCACCAAATTTTCTCTTTCTCTGGGTCACTGTGCAAAATGTAAAGAAAAACCAAATGCAGCACACACAAAAATAAAAAGAGAATTTTGACTTTGTTTTTTTTTTTAAAAATGTCTCTTTTTAAAGCAAGCAGTGAGTTTTGAAAAAGTTGTTGCATCGTGTCTTCTTTTAAAGCTGTGTAAGTGTTTGGGAACTGGGGAGAACACCTGCTGTGGTTTTGACAGTGAACCGTTGTTTTCCCATTCTTGGTTAAAGTGAAGATCTCAGCTCCTCTGCAGTTCATGGCCTCCTTATTTTTTTGTTGTATAATAAGCCTTGTCCTTTCAGCTGCTCCTTTATTTCCCAAGTGGGCCCTACAGCAGATGGATTTGCATGTTTGATTTAGCACAGTTTTTATGGCAAATGCATTTCCCGATGAAACCCTGCCATTTATCAAGACTTGGGACTGGAACGAGTACACTAACCTGTGACCTCTTGGGTGTTTCCTCCCATTATTTAAAAAGGGGGCCTTTTACATGGAAGGCAAATGTGTTAACCAACTACACCTACAGGTGTGGATTGGAGGCACGTTTAACCTTTCCTGAAAAATGATGTAATCTGGATAACAACACATATGCTCCAACACCTGATTTTGTTCCGTTGTCTGTCCAGGTATACTTTTACTGCACTGGCAGTGTGTTTGGGCCATTGTCATGCTGAAAACTGAAGTCACTGCCAATCAGATGAAAGCCTGGCCATTGCAAGGCAAATCAAAATCTCATTTGACTTTTCCACATTCATAATTCCACCAATTTTGACAAGATTCCCAACACACACTGACTGAAATGCAGCCCCCAAACCACAACAGAGCCTCCACAATGGTTTACACATGGCTGTAGACTCATTGTTGTACATCTCTCCTGACCTCTGTACATGTTGATGATGATTTAAACCAACATAGGACCTGCTCTCACTGATTTTCAGAACTGTTTTTGTGTATCATTTTAAAAACCTCAAGACAGCCTAAACCTTCCACTTGGACCATTTCTGACCAGGCTTCAGTGAAGAGCAGATGGATGAACTGAATCCTCACGTCCTGTGTCAGATCTTTGCTGGATTTTTTTTCCAGTTTCTAAGGACATGACTTTCAGATACAGTTCATCTGCTGTAGATAGTTTTTTAGGCCCACCACTTCTTCTTTTGTCCTCTACTTATGCAGTTTTCACAAGTTTTTTTAAGGACAATACAAACTTTGCCAAGTTTTCAGCTAATAGATCTTTGGGAATCAACCTTGTTGGTACAAAAATAGCATTTTATGCCTCTCAATCTGTGCTACCATTGGTATTTTTTAATAGCATTAACTAAAAAAATTGGTACAAATTGCTGTGTTTTTGCTAGCAGCAAAGTGCCTAAGGACACTATTTAAAACTGGTTCTAGACACAACGACGGTGCATTTATATCGGCCAGTGTTAGATGTCTTAACAAACAAAAAACAAACATTCCTCTGAAAATGGTCGGATATAAGAAGTGGACTGAAAATAAGTGAAAAAGCAGCCAATGTTCAAAGAAAAGCTTTAAACGAACTTCAGAAATCCTAGAGAACAATTGCTCAACAGCTCTTTAAAAACTTATAAGAAATTCTGTCTCGTTGGAAACAAAATAAAAAGGAACAACGGGAACAAGGGGTGTCACAGCACTGCTCATACATACTGGATACATTTTTTAAAATTTAGAGAATTTCTTTGTTATTTTTCACCCTGTTTTTTCAATTGAATGAAGGATTTAACTTTACACCGTTTCCATGCTCTTGAAAAGAGGATTGTGTATTTTGCTGTCGAATTTAGTTTTAACCTGCATTATTTTAACTAAACCAGTCAAGGTTGGACAATTAATAATTGGATTGAAGCATAATTGATAAATGATAAGAGTCTTCACTTACAGACCTTGATTAAAGGACTATTCCAACAGTTTCACTGTTAATGTCATTTTACTAGAGATGTGGGAACCACAGGATTTTTACAAAAAATATATAATTTATGAAAAAGAACTCTCCAAGCAAGAGATATTTTACTCCGCTGTCCGTGTTAGGCTTCGACAACCCTCAGATAGCACAGGAGACATCACCAGGTTGTTTGTTTAGCCCTCTGGAATCTGAAAATGCTGTTTTCACAGAATCCGTCATCATCGACGTGAAGAGAAAGCGAAACTTTGTGTGTAAAATCAGGGGAATTCCCCTTTAAAACATCCCGTCTTCTTACACTGCTGCCTGCATTACGTAGTGTGGGATTCTGTGCAGATTGAGGAACCCAGCCTGGTGAAACTAGCAATCATTTACCCTTTACTGACCTCGCCATCAGTCCCACTGGGCTCCCCTTTGAGGATGATGTTGATGCCACTTAACCCCCGTTTGTTTATCCCAACACTTTTTAGCACATGTCTGTGTTATGTAATCCCCCCCAGGCCTCAAAGCTGCTTCCCAACATCACTGGGGCCTTCCCTGGTCTGCCCATTGACTGATCTCTATTACGCGGCAGCCACTCTGCACAAGTGTGTCTCTCTCAATGAGCGAGTGCTTAGCTGAAATAGATAAACACTGACATGGCGCTGCATAGGCCCGGGGCACTCACCCAGACAGGCACACACCAATTTGATTGCCCACTGGTTCTCTCACGAGCAGACTTTTCTTTACTTCCTCTCTCCGTCCATCGTTGCCTGTGTCACACTGTGACTTTCTCCCAGATGACTGCAAGCACAATAGAGGTAATTGATACTCAATTTCCCTGTTTCATACTGGAGTCAAAAACCTTTAATACAGGCTTGTGCACCAGTGTACATTTCACAGTCTCCCATTCACACACTTCCTCTTTGCGCTTTGAGTATTTCGGGCTGGCGGCTGCAGACTTTCTTTATTTCGTCTCGCACAGACACACAAAAGCAGCTCATTTGCTCACAAATTCTTCCACATAACATCCAAACCAATCAGTTCACTTTGGGATAGCTTCTGCTCTGCCATCGATCTCCATGGTAATCTCACCTCTTTAACAATAGCCGGTTTCCTTTAACATATCCACCCGAGGAAGTAACCCGCCATTTTGATGTGGTGACAGCAACTATATGGCGGGACACATGGATAACGAGTCTGCATGTGATCTCAAAAGAGAATAACACCTCCCACCTCCCTGACAGAAGCCAACCGGAACATTATTTGT